TTTACCAGAAGCGTCCAGTTTTTTAGGGACGACCCAAATTGGAGAAGACCAAGGTAAATCACTTGTCGGATAATGTTTTGATTAAGCATTTTGTTGATTTGAGCTTTTACCTCGCTCTTGTGTATATAGGGGTATCGAAAAGTTTTATTATAGATTGGAATTTGATTTGTTGTTTTGATATGATGTTTGGTTTTACTTGTGAATGTGAGGGGTGATTCGTTTTGATAGAAAATATCAGAATATTTTTAACACAATTTAGTTATGGCATTTTTCTCTTCTAAGTTTAAATGATTAGTTCTAATCAGAGATAAATCTAATTTTGGAACTTTTGGGGTTAAAGTTAATTAATTAAAGTTTTTTTTTGGTTTTGTTTAGGGGTTCGGGAGTTATGGGCAAAAGAAATGGGGAAACTTCAAGCTGGAAACGGGCTACAATTGTTGCTTCCGAGCTTGTTTGCGCCGCTCCACTTTTGCACCCGAAAGCGCATGCAAAACCAGCGTTTTCCGCCTTCATTTAGTTTTTCCTCCGGTCCAGTGTTTTTGGGGTTGCAAACCACTGCCCATGTTAACGGGAAATCCAGCCGTCAAACCGCCGTGGCGCCCAGTGGGCCAAAATGCCAAAAACACTGGACCGCACTGGATTATTGTCGCCCTATCTCCGGACACTCCAGTGACAAATCGGCGGACCAATAGGAGCGCGTATTGCTTCGCAGGCGAATAAGAGGCGGCGCCAATGATCAGCCAGCCAATTAGGGCGCAGACGTTGACCACCCGGATGGTTTTCCGGCGGCCAAATCGATCAGTTATTGGTCCGGAGCAGAGACAGCCGAGGAGCGTGACGAGCGATGCTATGCTGCAAATTGGAGGGGCGGAGGGCCGAAGCTGGAGAGTTTTCGCATGTTTGGCGAGTCTCGTTACCGAACTAGGATATCTGGGCGGTGGTAAGCTGACGAAGGGCCGGGATGGCAACAGCGGAAAATCCAATGGCCATGCCCGGTGCGATGTTGGAAAAGTTCGACAGGAGTGCCAGACTGATCTGAAAACGCCAACAGCGCGATTAATGCTGCCTGGGAAAATATGTGCCAATTGGCTGGGAAATTGCATGCAACGAACGACTGATTAGCAGCGGAGATAAAGATCTTTTTCCGGGTTTTTTCGCCTATAAATGGCTACAAGGCCACTCGAAACGTACCTACTTGAGCACGGGTTTTCCGCCACTTTCAGTCATTTTGAGCAGCGAAAACCGCCAATCACAACCATAAATCGCAGCTAAAGCAGCAGGTGCACGAAATGCATCGCGTCTTCACGGCTACTCGTCTTTATCTATGTT